CAGAGTAGCGTACAGGAGCATGGACAATCTACTAGTGGATACACCTGAAGAAAATGTTTTTCCCTCCCTCGGTAACCATTAGCTGCCTATAGATCCCTGGGGAAAGTGGGGCCCCGGGAGTCCCTCGCCTCCAGCTACTGTTAACAATAAAGATAGTGAGTTGCTATATTAAGTGCATAATTAACAGAGCATATGATCACAATACTGTAGAATGCATACAGTGCTCACAGAGGCCAGAGGGAGGTATTGGATCCCCTGAAACTGGAGTTACAATTGTGAGTTGTCATGTAGGTGCTGGGAACTAAACCTGGGTCCTATGCAAGAGCAGCAAGTGGTCTTAACTGCTGAGCTATTTCTGTAGCCCCCCACACACACACACACTGCTACCCCACCCCGACTCCACCGTATTTGTTTTTTGAGGCAGAGTCTCTCCATGTAGCCTAGGATGGGCTGTGACTTAGGGTCCTTCTGCTTTTTTTTACCAACCACTGGGAGCACAGGCACGTACCAACATGTCAGGCTCAGAAGTGTATCTTTTTCCCAAAATAGTTTAGTGGTTTCATTGTTCTTTGTAGAACTAGAGCTTGAACTGAGGACTTTGAAACCAAGCAAGCACTCTGCCTGTCAGTGTATTTTGTTGCTGTTTGTGGGGAAAGTATCTTGATTGAATCCTTGGATGCAGAACAGCTATGTGGGGTCAACAGTACTTGCATTTGTACCTGGCTATAAATAATTTTAATTCCTAATGGTTTTCTGATCTGAGAATATGATTCATTTACTACTAAGAGAACCTATCCTTCAAATAGGTATTGAAAATGGCAGGAAAAACTGAGCTATTTTAAAACAAAATTAAGATAAAGGTATAATAGCTACTAGGTTTCCTAAAATACCATATAGTTTTCACTTATGGAAATTTCCCATAAAAAAACAAATCTGTCAACATGGACCTTCATTGCCAATAAAAGGTCTTTAAAGAGTGTAACTTCCTGAACAGCTAAGGGTGTCCCTGCCCAGAGGTCTGCCCTCCCTTCCACACATGGAGGAACAGCCATACCGGCCTATCTGCCTGGCGATGGCCACTCCAGGAGCTTCCTGCCTTTTACTTTTACCTCTGGATTCTGAGTTATACCCCCCCCCCATAACAAACGCAAAAGGCCACCTTCTTTTGGAGCTTTTATTTCTTCATGGAGGTATGATAACATATGAGAAAGTGCATGACCTCAGAATACAGTTTGATGGGCTTAGACAACTGCGCATGTATCCATCAGTGCAATGAGCACTGCCACCCACCCCCTGCAGAATCCCCTCTTGTCCCTCCCAATTTTACTTTCACTCTTAGCATCACCAACCCGATGTCTACATATTAGCTTTACCTAATGCATACATCATAAAACTGAGGTAACCAGTATCTTTTTTTTTTCTCTGCCTGCCTTCTTTTATTCTGCATGACTCTTCTGAGATTGACTGCTATAGAAGTTGAATGGGGTAGCATCCGCGGCATGGATGTACCATGGTGAGTATGAGTGAACACTCAGAGGGCTATTCTTAAGGTGGGAGGACATATGAGTCTGTGTTTATTTCTCTGTGTCCTTCCCTCTTATACACTAATATCCTTACAGTTTATTGCAGGCAGTCCCCTCTCCACCACTGAACTCTCGGTCCCTTTGTGATATATATGGTGGTAGGATTAACCACAGGAAACTGTCCATGGTAGACAAGTCTCCAGCCCCTGCACTAGATAATATTTAGTACTTTTTGGATTGTTAAATGTAATCAGAGGTACACTAAGTGTCAGACGTATATTAGGAGATCACAGACTGTCACCAAGAGTTCTGTACTGTGGGCCACACACTACACTGGCAACAGAGAGACATGCCACATCCATGTCCCCCTCGCCCGCCCCCCTTCCCCACAGGCAGCAATTACTTTTTGCAAACTAACTCTTCTGGTGAGTGGTGGAACCAAAATCAGAATCTAGATCTAGAATGTCATCACATACTCTTAAACACTATGTTGTAATACTACATGCTCTTCCTTTAAAAACTGGCCACATTTGATAGTTTTCTAAAGTAAACATTTATCAAATATGGATATGGGCAAAGAGGGTACAATTTATTCTTCACAGAGGAGCAATCATCTGTATGAAACGACTTCCCTGTACACTCTGAAATCAAAGCAGGCTAGCTTGTCCTCACAGTTTTAGGCTGGAACTCTAACAGGGCAGTTAAGTCTCTTCACTTGGGGCCTCAGGATGTTATAGTAAGGTGTCCCTTAGAGGGCTTGTTGGGAGCATGAAGATGCTTGTGCCCACAGATCTCCTGGAAAACCAGGAATGGTAAGCACCCAGAAAGGGAAGCATGTATAAATTGTTTTTCCAGAAAGCTGGGGACTGGAGGTGACAAATAAATAGCCCAGTGATCTGCACCTTCTGTTGCGCCAGGCCATGTCAAGCTCCCACCACTAGGACCAGAGGTGGCTAACAGCCCAAATGACTTCTATGCTATCTATGTGGCCGAGACCAGCCCAGATCCTTTCATAGGCTCTTAAGCTAATGCAGGCAGCCTATCTCCAGAATCCATCCTCTTGGAAGAAATGACATGTACCCTGAGTTGACTTTCAGTATAATCGTGCTTCCTTATCCTAGGAATTGATTACACCAGGAAACCTTCCCCCAAATTATACTGTGTTTAAGTATAGCTGCAACAAGAAGCACGACACTAGAGAAATTCCCAGGAATCCACAAAGATGACCCGGCTAAGAATCTAAGCAATAGCAGAGAGGGTATCTTAACTGTCCTTCCCCTGTAGTCAGATTGATGGCTACCTTAATTGTCATCATAGAACCTTCATCCAGTAACTAATGGAAGCACATGCAGAGATCTACAACTAAGCATTGGAATGAACTCCGGGAGTCCAGTTGTAGAGAGGGAGGAATGATAGCATGAGCAAAGGGGTCAAGACCATTTTGGGGAAACCCACAGAAACAGCTGACCTGAGCAAGTGGGAGCTCACTGACTCCAGACTGACAGCTGGGAACCAGCATAAGACCAAAGTAGGCCATCTGAATGTGGGTGACAGTTGGGTGGCTTGGACAGTTTGTAGGGCCACTATCAGGGGAACCAGTATTTATCGCTAGTGTTGTTCTTTTGCCGAAGCTTCGGGCAATGAAACACCATCCACCACACTCAATAAACCCACATGAAGTTTATTGGGAAAGGGAGCAAAGGGAGGGGAGCAGAAATGGAAAGAGAGAACAGGCAGGAGGCTCTTGCTTATATAGGGAACGGGAATGGTTTATAACAAGCCTCAGCAGTTGGGGACGATGAAACTGAAGTCATGGAGCTGCTGTTGACCCAGCTCCTCTCGGCCCCAGTTCCACATGGTTTCTGCATGCAGAACCCTTATGCAGCCACCTAATGCATGCATGATGCAGCCATGCAACCTTTGACAGTTGTCAGTGAGGAACATCAATCACCTGTCAAAGATGGATCCTGGGGCAAGGTAAGGGAGCCTGGAGAAGAGCGATTCTGGGGTGGGGAAAGCCTGAGGATTAGAGAGGCTCCTTGACCAGGAAAGGTTCCCTAAGGAGAAGGGAGTGACAGGCGGGTGCTGAGGAGAAACCACGGGGGCAGAGGAAGGAGAGGAGTCAGGTTGCCTAGGACCCGGGGAGAGGGAAAAGCCAGGATATCAACAGGTAGTGCTTGACACTTTGCTCAGCCTAGCTACAGTGGGGAGGGCCTTGGTCCTGCCTCAATGTGATGTAACAGACCTTGTTGATTCCCCATGGGATGTCTCATCCTCTCTGAGGAGTGAATGCGGGTGGGGTGAGAAGGTGGGGGGAGCAGGAGGACCGAGGGATCGGGAACTGGGGTTGGTATGTAAAATAAGATTGTTTTAAAAACAATAAAATATATATGTATATATACTCACAACCCCCCCACACACAGGTTTTCATTTTCCCCTCTTTGAGGTTCATTTCCCTGCCAGCCTACGCCTGAAGAGAACCCCCTCACTGGCTGTCCACAATGGCTCCCACACACAGCTGTGTGGTACTGACAATCACGTTTAGCTGGGCTGGGTGGGGAAGACACCCAAGCCAACATGAGGCCTCTCCATCTCAGCCAGCTCAGGGTAGAGGACCTCAGTGCACAGCAGACTGACTTCAGAGCAAGCATACCAAGAGAGCCAGGCAGAAGTTTCCAAGGCTTAGTACACCCTTCTACCAAGCTGTGCTGGTAAGTGCATCCACAAATGCCCAGCCTCATACAGAGGACACACACAGCCTGTGGGTCACAAGATGACTGGTGAAGTCACACTGTAGGGGAGGAAGCACAGTGAAAGATGGTACAGGGCTATCTTAGAAAACATACTTTGCCACAGCTATGCTCTTAAACTGCTACACTTGGGAAAGATCATGAAGACACCAAAGGTAAAGACTTCAGTCGGAAAACCCTTCTTGGCATGAACAGCATCCTTATTCGTAAGTGCTAGAACACAGGTAGGTTTTATGAGGAAAACTAAATAAGCAGATTCATTTTGCAAGTTTGTTTTAGTTGAAAGTTTTCTGACTTGCTACAGGATTAAGGACTATTTTAGAACCCCTTGTAGTAAAGGCACAACTCATTTGGGCCACACAGACCCAAATGAGAATCACCAGATAGTCTTGCTAATTATGCCATCCAAGGAGATGCTAAGAATCTCCAAATGAACATTATGGGTATCATAAAAATGTAATCTAACTGGTTGAGGAACCTCCACCCCTTAAAAAGTATCTTATGGCCGGGCGGTGGTGGCATGCACCTTTAATCTCAGCACTTGCAAGGCAGAGGCAGGTGGATCTCTGTAAGTTCAAGGCCAGCCTGATCTACGGAGTGAGTTCCAGGACAACCAGGGATATACAGAGAAAGCCTGTCTGTACACACAAAAACAAAAACAAAAAGTCCCTTATAAATATGACCATCCCACGAAGTTTACATCACGCAGGCATTGTGTCAACCATACCTGGCTTTGCGAATGTGCAGCTGAGGGTAGTGGTCATGCCTGTGACATATGTATACTGCAAAATCTTCATCATAGGTCAAACACGGAATGTTCCCCACTTGGTTAAATACAGTTATCAGAGTTGAACCTAAATCACAGGAAGAAATGTACCCTTTAATCAAGGGATAACTTTAGGTTTTCAGGACAAACTGTGATCCCTGTTCCACTTGGAGATTTATAGGCTGTAATCGAGTACAAACATGACACTTAGAGTCTGGTGACCAATCTCCTTTCCCATCCCCAGGAGTACTACACTTCAGCTTCTGGGGACACTGGCCTTTGAGGACCTTACCTAGGCTCACATATGAGGGCACAATGAGAAATATGAAGTACAGTTCTGGTACTGCCTTGAACACAGTCCTGGGGAGGAAAGACAGGGAGGGACAGTGTTAACAACAGAGCAATCACATTCCCTGTCCCTGAAAATGAGATGCCTGGAAAGTCACATGGACTCAGTCACTCCTGCCTGTCAGGGCCAGAGCATCTCCTAGACAATGCATCTCCTTCCCCTCTACTTTTCCTTCCATTCCAAAGAGCTCCCCTCCCGTCTGTCTGGGGGAGGTCGAGAGAATAAAGGGCATGATGTCCAAGCAGCACACCAGATTTCTGCTGACATTAACCTTTGACCTGGCATCTGGATGGTCTGGTGTGACATTACAAAGTGACTTGAAAGCTGAGCCACCCACCCCCATCCCCACGGCCTGCACAAGCTGTCAGAGATGCATCGCCATGACTCAATGGCCCTGCTCATCATCTTTTCACACACCCTTGTTATTCAGGATGCTTCTGCAGGCTGTCATGTCAATACGAACTTCTAAAGAGAAGACTTTAGAGGAAATGTAACATTGTGAACACATAAGTCTGGGAGTCTTTACTCTTTCCTGACCACCCCGATCCATTTCTTTAACTTACGGCACTACCTGTTGGCCTCAAATGATGGCAGTTAAACACAGAGGCTCTATAGAAAATGGATTTAAAGAATTAGATTATTTTCTTTTGGAAATACTGCTGCTATTAAGTTAATAGAGAATTAATGTTACAATGAACTATAAGCAAATTAAAGGCTCCATAGAACTCTGTGTCATTCGAAAAATATTCCGTAAGGCCTCTTTCATCACGGCTGTCTGTAAGGTGCCGTCCACTCACCGAATGATCTCTTTGAGGCAGCCTGTGGCATACTCGTCCACGGCCACGAAGAAGTGCATAAACAGTGTATTCAGAGGCTGTGGGAGAAAATAGAAAGTGGGAAAAACACTGGACCAGACACAGCAGGGCTCAGAGCAGTCCCCAAGGGCAGAGCTGGCCAGCACTTGTGGGTGGCAGCTTACGTCAACGTGACAAGACACCCAGGTAGCAGTTTGAGCCCTCTCGTCACTTCATTCACTGCCTTCTGTCTCACCAACTTAGAATTATTCAAGGAAATGAGGATTGTGAGCCTAGGGTGCCCAGCCCTTGCTCCTGCCCTCATGGATGAATTGTGGGTAGGAAAGAGCCTGCAGGGGAGTGAAATCGATTATGGACTCCATAGTCTTGCCTTTGGGGGTGTCTATGCCAAGTGAAAAACAATCACCCTTTCCCTGGGGCTCCTGAGCCAGCAGCTGCTACTCTATTCATGGGACACGAGGGAGAGATTCTCTTATGAAATTGAAGGATGGAAGGCAGATGCTACATTAGGAATCCAAAGGCTTTTTTGTTCAACATTCCCGGAGTCCAAATCAAATTATTGCTCCTGCTATCCAGAAAACCTGGGAGTTAAAAATGCAGAGAAGATTCTCCCATGGCTTTTGGCAGTTTTAAAAGGGCTTTGTCCTCTGACTTTTGGAGATTAACTGGCCTGAATAACAACAGTGTTCCCTTACAGCCATCTCTCAGTGACTGTGTACATTAGCACTCCACAAATAAAGGAGATGTAGCCGACTGCTGAGTACAATAAGTGCATTTCCACTGGGGAAGTGGGAACTTCCTGTTTCTTGATTTCTTAGTAAAGCTGCTTCTCCCTCCGAGTCAGTTCGGGATGTTGGCTCCGGGACCTCTGCAGATTCCGAAATCAATGAAGCCCAACTCTGGTCCCTGTACCAAATGGTGTAGTATCTGTGTGAAACCAGCACGTCTCTGATGTACATCACCTATTGTGTTTAACAGAGTGTAAACATGATTTGACAGGCTGTTCCACCGTGTTGTTTGGGAATAACAAAGAGAAGTTCTGCATGTGTTCAATACATGTACAATTGTTGAAACACTTTCTATTATTAGTCACTTGGATTTATGGTGTGGAACCATACCATATGGTTATGGAGAGAACTGACTGTAGTTTTCTAGTAACTTTGGGTTACCAACTGCATAACCATGGTCTGTCTCCACTCCTGTTGTTGGCTAGCCTGTGACTTGGAAGCACTCAGAGGGAACTGGCAAGAGAAGAATCATGAGTTTGACCTGGGACCTTGAAAATTCTCAAAAAGCATACAGCACAAACTCCAAAGTTCAGATACCAGGAGACTACAGTTTATATGTATTAATGCTTTAATCCCAAGCTTTCTCAGCATCTGCTTTGCACTGAACAGGGCTGGCCTTGTAGCACACAGCTTACTGCTTGCTTGATTTATCTAGATAATTTAGGATTTACTCTCTAAACATCTTCAAGGTAAAAAAAAAAAAAAAACCATTACTTCAGTTCAAACGCTAATGGAATAGAATATACACTGAGGACTAATTAAGGCTTAATCGATGCAGCTCAGCAGAAAAATAGTGTAACTCACAAATGCAACCCAAAATGTAATTCCACATTTTCTAGAAAACAAGTTTAAAAAGAATAGGACCGGAGCTGGGGAGATGTCTCGGGGGCAAAAGTGTAAGGATCAGAATTCAAATCCCCAAAAGCCACATAGAAAAGCCAGACGTGTAGCACATCTGTCTATAATCCTGGCATTCCTACAGGAACGTGAGAGGTAGAGAAAGGCAAATTCCTGGGAGCTTGAGGCCCAGGTGGCTTGGCATATGCAGCAAAGAAAGAACAAAATGAGAGCCTGGCTCAAATAAGGTGGGAGGCAAGGATTGACACCTGAGATTGCCCTGACCTCCACAAGACATGCTATAGCATGTACACACCCACATTCACACATACGAATGTGCATATACATACATACACATATGAATGTGCATTTATACACAGCATAGTCGTAAGCTCACATACACACAAGGATGAGGAGCATGTTCATTACATAACTAACACATAATATGAAAATCATTGTAGTTGATTATTTATTTACTTTGAGACAAGGTCTTGTGACAACGACCTGGCTGGCAGTCGTTCCTACTACATAACACTGTCTAATTTGAACTCACAGGAAACCCTACTGCTTCAGCCTTTCAACTATCACTTGGATTGTTAATGTTAAAAAAAATCATTAATGGCATATTTCGCAGTTTTTCCTTCTAAGTGCTTCAAGTCTAGTGTGTGATTTATATTTGGGATTCGGACAAGCTAACATCAAATCCATAATGGCTACCTGAAATCAAAGGCACCACACTCCACGAGGGCATTTTAAATGTTCTATAGTATGACGAAGTCCAAAGCTCAGTTGTCATTCCTAGGGCAACCACTAGGTGACAGGTGCCTTCCTGGGATATCACAGACCTCACACAAGGACACACAGACATCTGTGGCGTATCTAGGTATACATACCTGACACACCAACTCTTTGCTTCCAGCTCTTGTTCATTTAAGAGCACAAGGTGGGTGTAGGGGGCAGCTGGCTGAGGGGGCCACCATGTACCCCCACCCTGCATATTCTGGCCCCCTTGCCTCCAGCATCCTATCACTGTTTTTAACGTGTTATGATGCTACTGTGATGTGCGTGCGTGTTGGATTTTCTCCACCCAGAAACTTAAGTAACACCAGTCTGACACCAGACCCTCCCTTCCACAGTCAGGTTGTTCTAACAAACACGCCGTGTGATTTTCTTACTGTGCATGGGATTTCACTGTCAAGTTCCTGGAACACCGGCATCCAGCTGTCCTGATTGGCAACATTCCAGTTGGGATAGTCCAAGAAGATGGCATGGGCCATGATCTCCTCCTTGTCATTGCAGAGGGTAACAGCAAGGTTTGCCTTTTCTCTGTGAAAATGATGAAATACACACATGAACAGAGACAACCTCTGTGGGCCACCGTCTCCTCCCTGGGCTACTAGAGCTCTGGAGCTGCTTCCTGAGGTCTGTTTACACCTGGAGTTGGGGGAATGATGCTTCTGAAAGTTTGGGTGTGTTTGTTCCGGGTATAGGAAGACATCAATCAAGTATCTATTTAAAATTATGTTTGCACTTTATCACAGTAAATATCTGATAGCCTTCCCTTGCACACTGGGTAGAGTACCATTCTATTGCACACTTCCTCCACCTTCTCTGAGGTAGCAATACCACTGTGTTGATCTACACGCAACACAGTTACAGTGACCAACTGTCCTTTGCTTACGACTGAGGTGATACTCAGGGTATGAGACTTCATGCTAAAAGCCAGCACATTCCTGGGCAAACTGGAATGGGCTGGTCTCCTGTGCACAGTGGCAAAGATGCATTTAGTTCCAGCTTTGGGGCATTCTTGTGTAGCTTTTCCCAACCCTGAGCCCAGGTCCCAAGGCTGAGTCACATAGAATCTGAAAAACTGTAGTCACCAGTTAGCCTTCTATTGCTGGGATAAACACCAGGACCAAAAGCAACCTGGGGGAAAGGGTTAATTTCACCTTATACTTCCAGGTCATAGATCATCACTAAGGGAATTAAGGGCAAGAATTCAAGGCAGGAATTTAGAGAAGAAACCACAGAGAGTTGGCACTTACTAGGATGCTCCCAGGCTCACATCCAAAACTCACCAAAGCTCAGGTACACCCTGAGTTTTTTTTTCCTCTCTCCTCCCGCTTCTTGCCTCCCTCTGTCCCCCTCTCCCCCCCTTCAGATTTTGAACCTGGGGCCTCACCAATGCTAGACAAGTAGTCTATAACCAAGCTATATCTGTATCCTTCAGCTATTTTCCTTTAGTTTAAGGTTATTTTTTTTAAGTGTGTGTGTGTGTGTGTGTGTGTGTGTGTGTGTGTGTGTGTGTGTGTGCAGAAACCAGAAGTTTTGGGTCCCCAGGAGAAGGAGTTAGAGATGGTTGTGAACCACCTCACATAGGTGCTAGGAACTTAACTGGGTCCTCTAGAAGAACAACAAGTACTCTTAACTGATGAACAAGCTCTCCAGCCCCAAACCACCTGTCTCATTCCAGGCCCCACCTGTGTACAAATGGCGCCACTCAGTGTTGTGTGCTCTTCTCTGTAGTGAGATAGTCCTTCTGTAGCACTGACCACGCCCATTGGGGGGTGGAGCGATGGGCGGAGGTGACCTGAGGAAGGAGGTCGGAGGGGGCCAGGAAGGCGCTCTCTTTTCTGGCGTGACTCGGACAGGAGAGGATCGGGTTGAATTTCCTGGTGTTCATCTGTCTAGGTTGTAAGTTATTTCTCCCTGAATAAACATCTATTCGGCCTATTTGTTTATCCTGATCCTTATTTACCACAATACTTCTCTGTCAATTGGAAATCAAGGAAATGCCCACAGACGTGCCCCCAAGGCCAAAGTGATGGAGGCAGTTACTCAACAGAGGATCCTTCTTCCAAGATGTGTCAACTTGCAACAAAGATGAGTCATCAGATGCCTGAAACAGCTGCAGAAATGGAGACCCAGGGGGGTCTTGTGTAAGCTAAGGTTTCCTGGCATCTTACTGATGAGAAACAGTCTTCCAGCTCTTACTGTGGTCTGCTGTCCCCAAGGAACTTTCTCAACCGGTCTACCTACCTGCCAGCCTGCCTTATGGCACAACAAGGGACAAAAAGAAAGGTATGATTCAGAGGCAGTACCCAGTCAATCACATGAAGAACATGCATGCAAATTGAAAGGTGATTTTCACTTGCTCAGCTGAATAAAATTAAGTATTATCTTAAAGACACTTTTACAATCAGATGTCAGGATTTACTGTACCCCTGATAACCCATGACTGTCAATTTTTTCCTTCCCAACATTGTACTCCCTTTCTCCACAGTAAATTCTCATTATTTGGCCCAGGTTGACCTCAACTTCACCATTCTCCTGCCTTAGCTTCTCAGTGCTGGGATAACTGCTGTGCCTCAGCATCTCTGGCTCAGACTTCTCTGTGTCGAGGGTTACTTTTACATTGAAATTTGTACGCTGTGTATTTTTTAAGTGTAAGTGCAGACGCTGGAGAAACGGCTCAGTAGTTAAGAGCACTTGTTGCTCTTGCAGAGGACCCAGGATTAGTTTTCAGCCCACATGATGGTTTACAACCAACCTTCACTCTAGTTCCAATGCCTCTTCTGACATCTAAGGGGACCAGGCGTGCATGTGGTGCACATACACACATGCAGGGAAAACACTCACATACATAAAATAAGTGGATCTTAAAAAAAAAGAAAGGAAAGAAAGAAATGTGAAGTTCAGAATCCATACTGAGTCCATATTGTGTGTAACCCTAGTTTTTCCACTCGATCTCAAATGATTTGAGTGAAACAGTTTTACACACACACACACACACATACTATACTTTAGCTTCATAATTTTCTCTGAATCAGTTCACATTGGGCTTGAATATTTTAGCAGGAAATTTACATCACAAATGAGAAACCAGTTTCCTCTGCTATCGGCAGGAAGTAACTATAGGAACAAAGACAACACATTTCAAACTAAAATTGTGTAAGTGTGTACCAGGTAAAAATCTCTTTGAATTCCATTATATGTAAGGAAATCTTTAGGAAAACGTGGCCCTTGGGATGTCAATCTTAGCACCCACAGCTTCTGTTCCTCCTCATGGGAAGGTACATATAGCAACACATATCTTCCCCCCTCAGCCATGGGGAACTGAACCAGGATACACATGGCCCAAAAGCCCGACCCAAGCCAAGGCTAATGAGAGAAAGGCCCTGTAGATGTCTAGAATATAGTATTCACAAAGGGATACACTGACAAGAAAATGAAAGCCCATAACATCTTAATTCAGCCAAGACTTTGTGTCCTTTCTCTCCCTCTTTCCCTTGCCCTCAGTCTCTGTCCTCTCTCTCTCTCTGCCCTAGGCCATAACTTATAGCTGAGAACTATGCCTCTAGTTCACATGAGAAAACACCCACCACACAAAGACCCCACACACATCAGATATGATGATCACAGTAGTGGTGGGAAGAAAGAGGTGGGCAAGAACTGGGGACAGAGAGCTGCCATCGCCCCAGGGAAGCAAAGGACAACATGTTCCTGGAATCTCAATTTTAACTTGAAATGCATTTATCCATGGGAACCTTAGGGTGGTGGTTGGGTTCTATAGCACAATTAACACGGTACCATACTGCACAGACATTATGGATTAAATAAGCTTTTATGGGTTGGCCTGGGAAGCCAGCCAGGAACAACTTTGTTTCAATGGGGAAAATGTGCTACAATTTCCAAATAGCTACCATAATAAAAAGTGACTTCTGTAGCATTATCCTTTTGTGTATATAATTTCCATTTGTTATTGGCCCTTAGTCATTATGCCTTTCTAGGGGCAGATAAAAACCATTCTGGGATCAAAAATGGGGTAAGGAGGACAGATAAAACCCATTCAGGGATGGGGGTGAGGGAGGAAAAGGGTAGAAGGAAAAGGCATGCTTTTAAAAGATGGATTTGAAACTGTTCTCTGTAATAATTCAAATACAAGCTTTAGGGACCTTAGATCCATGTACACAACATGTCTGTGTGTATACGTGACAGATGCATACAGTGTGCGTACTTCACACAAATTACATTAAAGCTCAAAGATATTGCCCTGCAATGGAAACCAGAACTCCTTTCTTTGGAGTAACAAATGTCTCATTTGTTCCATTGGTTTATGAAACTTCCCAAATGCACTTGGTGGGACTCTTGGTGACGCAGCATCGTTTCTGCTTTGTTTAAATGAGTGAGCAAGAGACCTCATATATTCCCTTGAATTCATCACACACAGGTGGGAAGCCAGGGCAGGGTTCCGTCCATCCTGGCCACTATGTGATATCTGCTCTCAGCATGGGAGTTTCCGTTCCTTCCCTTATTTATCTTGCCTCTTTTGCTCATTTTTATCCCAGCCAGTTTTTAGATGAGATCTGTTTTAGTCATTTTCTGCATCTCTGTGAATGAGCAATCTAGGGAAAACACCCAACACACACACACACACACACACACACACACACACACACACACACACACACACACACACCTAAATAGATGAGAAAAGAAATCACTATTTCTAGAAATGTCTCAAAAAAAAAAAACAAAAGGATCAGTCGTTAAGCCCTTAGGTCAGCCTGGCAAAGGGCCAGGAGTTGGCCTGGAAAATGAAAGGGAGGTAGGTTTGGGAACAGATGTTCTCCACGCTGCAGGAAATGAAAATGTAAATTTACCTTCACTCCTGAAAGTACTCTGGCTTCTAAGGCTGGTCACAGAGTCTCCATTTAGAAGGGTTACATTTTAACACAGTTGTTGCTTCTGGCCTTGAACTCTGCAGTACTCCTGCCTCAGTCTTCCAAGTACTGGGATCACCCACACTGTGCCAGCTTGCTTGACTTACAGAATTCCATTTTCACTACACCCTTTCCACATAGAATAGCTGCACTTTCCTATCTTCCAACCGAGAAAGTAAAAATCACTCCACTACCCAGCTTGCCTTCAGGACTAATTGACTGCCAAGTGTCAAGCCTTCAGGCAATTAGCACATGACTTAATTAGTACAGGGTTTGAGAAAAATAGGTTTGTGGAAGCTGTTTGAAAAGGAACAAAAATCTGGAGGTGGGCCTCATTTGTGAGGCACATGCCCTCTTCGGTCCTTGTCTGAATAACCCATGAATGAACCTGCTCTTGAGGACCAAGGAAGAGGTAGCTACAGTCTCCCTGCCCAACCTGCTCCAGCCAGATGGAGTGGACTCTGCAGTTGTAGAAGTGAGGCAGAGTGAAGAGGGACCGAGATCTGGATAGGATGGAGTTGTCGGAATGACTGAGGTGGAAAGAGATGAAGGCAGGCAAATGCCACACTAAGTCTAAAGAATCTGCTCATGATCCAGGGAGTCACATTCCCTAGGAAGACAGATAACCGGATGTGGTGCCAGGTCTGTCCTCAATGTTACATACCAACCACAATCAAAATGAATTTGAGACTTCATAAGATGGAAAGTTGCTATGTACATCTATTGTTTTATCTGTACTGGTTTTTATAAGTGGTCACAGCACCACCTATGAAACGGAATTGTTGTGGAATATTCCTTTATACTGAGTGAAGTTATGTGATTGGTTTAATAAAAAGCGAAATGGCCAATAGTTAGGCAGCATTTGGGGGACAGAGTGAATGCTGGGAAGAAGAAAGGAGGAGTCCCCAGCCAGAAGGAGAAGAGGCAGGATGGGGAGTAAACAGAAAGATAACCAAGCCTCACAAAAGAACATACACTAAAAGATATGAGTTAATTTATGTTCTAAGAACTACTTAGGTACAACCCTAAGCTATAAGCAGAGCTTTTGTAATAAATCTCTGTGTCTTCTTGTTTGTTTGTTTGTTTGTTTGTTTGTTTTGTGAGCTGTAGGCCCAAAAAGAGAAGTCCATCTACACAACATAGTCTTTCTCTGAAGCCCTTTTTGGCTGTCTCCTCATCAAGCTTTCATATACACATGGGTTCTGCCCTTCCTCCCTCCCTCCCTTCCTCCCTGTATCCCTCCCTCCCTCCTTCCTTCTCTCATCTCTCTACAATCTTGGCTTTCCTGGAAACCAATCTGTAGACCAACTGACCTCAAACTCACAGATATCCTCCTGCCCCTGTCTCCCAAGTGCCCAAATTAAAGGTCTGTGCCACCACACGCAGCACACATGGGTCCCTGGATAGGATTCTATATTAACCAATCATGGTCTATTAATGTCTTGGCTGTCTCTATGCTCTCCCAAGAGCTACACCTAGGGATCTTTATTTGAACATGTCTCTATATCATGTTTTCCTTCTTCTAGATTGTCTAGGCCTTTCCCACATGAATTTAATTTGTGTTATCAAGTGCAACAAACAATCCTGGGAGACATTAGGGAGATGGTTGGCTTTATCCATTAATGATTATATAGATATTCACATACAAGAGATAGTATACCTCTTGATTTATGTAATTCTCCTTAATATCTTTCAGAAACTGACATCCCCCAAGAGCACTGGTATGATTATGTCAGTTTTAGACATTCCTCACATTTCCAAACTATCCACAGCAAGTTCTGTTTATGAAAATGCAGTTTGCTTTAGATTTTGATTTTAAGTCTAATGATTATTTTGACATATTCCTTCTGATTCTCTACATAATGAATAAATCACTCCAGACTCAAGGAACACCATGGAAGAAGAGATGGAAAAATTATGAAATCTGGAAAGACGGCTCAGTGGTTGAGACCATTCACTGCTCTTACAGAGGACCTAAGTTCAGTTCACAGTACCACATGGCCACTTATAACCCTCTGTGATATCAGTTCCAGGCAAAATACTCATACACAGAAAAAAATAAAGATATTTTTTAACAGAAGGAGGATGGGGAGAGGTTCTCTGAAATACTGTCTTTTGGACAGGACAAGGCCACTGGACCCATCAACTCCCTGCAGCTATGATTAACTATACAAGGCCAAGTCAACAAGATGAGTCAGCATCCCATCAGGCATGAACAACTGAACTCAGTGGATTAAAAATGGAAAGGGAAGGAGGACACGAAGGTGGGAGGTGATGCTCTAGGGGGAGTAGGAAGAGGGAGCTAGGGTAGACAGGACCAAGATATATTGTACAAAATTGTCAAAGAATACATATTGACACAAAACAAAGAATAAATCATTTGCCAGTAAGTACTCTATTTTGTTTTCAACCATCAAGGTGGACCATTTTATTTTACTTTAGTTTTTGTTATTTTGAGAAAAAGTCTTATTATGTAGCCCAGGCTGGCCTTGAACTCACAATTCTCCTGTCTTAGTCTCCCGAGTGCTGGGACTACAGGTTTGTACCATCACACATGGCATATTTTATTTCTTACTACAATAGTTAAGATGTTCAGCTCAGTGTCAAATAAAAGCCATGGTGGTAGATAACTTCACCCTGCTTATTACAGTAAGAGGCAATCATCTAATACTTGTTATTGTGGCATTAAATAGTTTTATAACTTTAGAATGTGTCTTAGGGTTTTATCGCTTTGAAGAGACGCCATGACCATCAACTCTTTTTTTCTTTTTAAATACTTTATTTATTCATTTTTTTATGTGCATTGGTGTGAAGATATCAGATCCCCTGGAACTAGAGTTACAGACAGTTGTGAGCTACCATGTGGGTGCTGGGAATTGAACCCAGGTACTCTGGAAGAGCAGCATCTCTTATAAAGGAAAACATCTAATGGGGGACTGCCTTACGGTTCAGAGGTTAGTTCTTTGTCATCATGGTGAGGAGCAGGATGGTGAAGAAAGTTCTGAGAGTCCTACATCTTGATCCACAGACAGCAGGAAAGAACCACCACACTGGGTGAGGCTTCAGCATCTGAGACCTCAAAGCCCACCTCCCAGTGACATACTTTCTCCAGTAAAGCTGCTCCTACTCCAGCAAGGCCACACCACCTAACAGTGCCACTCCTAATGCACCTAAGGGGGCCGTTTTCATTTAAACCACCTCAGCATGTTAAGGGGGCTCTCTTATATTGCTTAGTTATAGCTAAGAATAACTTCAACTTTATCAGATACTTTAGTTTTTTGAGATTTTATATTTTTCTTCTTTTAATCTGTCAATGTAGCAAATTCATAGTCCTCCCCATATGTGTGTGTGTGTGTGTGTGTGTGAGAGAGAGAGAGAGAGAGAGAGAGAGAGAGAGAGAGATTGTGTGTATGTGTGTGTGTGCTTGGATATATGCAGCATGCACGCACATGCACACACACACACATACTGGGGTCACAGGCATGCATGAGACCAGGCCCAGTTTTACATGGGTGCTGAGATCCAAACACCAATCTTCATGCCTGATGGGAGAATTCCCACAGAGCTACAGCTCCTGATAGCATCTAACTTTTGATCTGCCTCTTGTGTTGTTACCTCTGGTCTCCTGGACCTTCTGTTTGAAGTCTTATCAGAGACTTTTCCTAGGGGATCAAAGCCTATGCAAACTTAGTTTAAGAAAAACACTGTGGTATTCTTGACTGAGACTTTGCACTTGGCATTATTCCTCTGGAGGGCTTAGGTCAAAGACTTTGGTATATGGAATTGACTGGCTAAAGGTATTCCTCTTAACAATAAGGCTGAGGCGGCTCAGGTTTAGTCCATAAAGATAAATCCACACCAAAGCTGGAAAAGGCTAAAAATTTGTCCTTGAGATGGCTCTCTGCTTCCAAAACCACAGAGAAACTCCGTCTCAGAAAAACCAACCAAACAAACAAATAAAAAACCCATAATGCTAACAGAACCTGGTATGCACTCAGTCCTCAAAACCTGCTCATGGTAATGTTGTACCCCAATAGATTGCACTAGTGGGTGGGGCACCTGAGGCTTCAATTCAAGTTTACTGGACTCTAAAGCCCATGAGGAGTCTTCAATTCACACAGTTAGAGGACATAGAGGTTAGCTGTCCCTATGTTTCCTGCTACACATTTGTCACCGAGCAGTGAACTGCCCACTCTAAGTCCCATGGGATCAATGCAATCCTTTTGATGCATGATAAAGTTTTTAAAAGGAGGTGGTGTGATGGGAGATGTCATTCTGTATATATGTTTCTCATACTGGTTAATGAATAAAGCACTGTTGGCCAATAGGAAAGGAAGATAGGAGGGACTAGGAGACAAGGAGGAAAGAGGAAGTAGTAAGAAAGGAGCCAAGATGGAGAGTCGGGAGAAAGCAGTATGCTGGACGGCTCCCCTGTAAGAGAAATACATAGATCAGCAGAAATGGGTTAATACTTAAGACAGAGCTAGCCGATAAGAAACAAGTAACTGGCCAACAGAATTATATCTAATACAGAGTCTCGGTGCATTATTTGGGGCTGGCGCGGTGGCGGGACAAGACCAGGCAGTGGCAGGTGGAAAAACCATACTCCTTACAGTGGTGGTGGTGGTGGTAGTGGTTTTCTTGCTGGGAACTAGACCCGGGACTATATGCACGCTAGGCGAAAGCTCTGTCTGTATGCTACATTCCCCAGCCCTGTAGGGGAACTGCCAATCGGTTCTGAAACTTACTTAGCTATGTACTTACAGAAGATAGATGATATTGAGCCTCCCAAACAGCTTCTGAGTAAATTTTCTAATGAGGTTTTTGATACAAAAGATATCCTGGGATTCTGTTCTTCGGCAATGAACCACTTCTACCTTCCCTCTGGGAGAAGTGAGGACTGACATTTTTTTCTCCTGTCCCTAGAGAGAGAGAAAAGTCCCTTGTTAATAATCTGAAATGATGGGCTAGTTTGTAACACAAATAAATAATACAGAGACAGATGTTGGGGTTCAGCCTGAAAATCAGGGAAGACCAGGGAAGCTCAGGCTGAAAGGGCTGATCCACAGATGAACTCTTCACCAAGTCTCAAACTGCTGCCTCTCCTCAATGTGGCTAGGGAATGAATGCCCCCTGCTGAATACTGAAGACCCTACTCCTATCTTTTATATCTCTCTAGTGCTGGAATTAAAGGCATGTGCTCTGTTGCTCCTTTAGACTAATTCAATCTGCCTTTGTCTCCTGAGTCCTAGGATTAAAAGTGTGTGCCACCACTGCCTAATCTCTATAGCTTGTGGCTGACTTTGCTTTCTGAATCCTCAGGCAAGTTTTAATAAATAATATATCATTACACTAGTTCATTTACAATACACACAACACTGGAAAATTACTTAATTTCATATGGTCAAAATGAAAACATTTAAGGGGTTTTCAGGAGTACTCAGGGGTTCTCAGGGGTACTCAGGGGTTCTCAGGAGTACTTAGGGGTACCCAGGGGTACTCAGGGGTTCTCACTCACAGGACACATTTTCCCAGGTAGCTGGCTTCAACAATTGTCATTACAAACCTGCTAAAATGCTGCTCTCCTACAAAATGAGCTAAGAATTTTCCTATCTAGAAGTTTCTACAACTATTTTTAAACTGCTTTAGATATTGAAAGGGCTCATTGACTGATTTAACCCACCATGCAGGCATAGAGTCATATTATAAAGAAAATATTGACAGTTGTGTGTTGTGGATATCTGTACACTGTGTGAAGGTGTGTTGCTGTAACTGTTATAATAAAAAGCCGAATGGCTAATAACTAGGCAGGAGAGGAGAAGTGGGATTTCCAGGGAGAGAGAGGAAGGGGAAAAGAAATCTAGGTGCACAGAGATACCAATGAGATGCAGGACAAGCAGGACACGCCTGTATAGAGGAGAAATAACTGAGCTGTGAATGTAGATTAATAGAAGCACCTTAATTTGAGTTAAAAGAGGCAATTGGGAAAAGTCTAAACTAAGGCCAAGCTTTCATAATTGGAAATAAGTCTCTGTGTTGTTATTTGTGGAATGGCTGTCCTTCAAATAAGGAGAAAGTCCAACTGTAGCTGTGTCCACATTAAGAGTTTGCCCTTATGGAACCTGGAGTCCTGAGAGACAACAATCTTGAAAGGTTTTATGAAACATAAACTCATTACTAAATGAAAGACACCAATCTGAAAAGACAAGACTCTAGTCATCTACAAAGAGTAAAACTACAAAAAGTAAAGCAAAGAGTTTAACTACTCATTAAAAAATGAGTATTGTTAGTCCTGCCTCAAGGAGACGATGGGACAGAACTAAAAGACTTCCTAGGAGAGGCCTTACCCTCTCCGAGGAGTAGATGGGAGGTGGGATGAGTAGGAGAGGAGGGAAGGGGAACTGGGATTGGAATGTAAAAAAAGTAAATTCATAAAAAATAACAGGTCCCTCACAAATACCCACAGAATCCCATATGCTCTTCCAGCCTATTTAAGAACTATGCTCATGTGCACAAACACACAGAGACAAACACACACAAGTATATACAATACAAATAATACATTTATTTAAATGGATAAAATTTTTAAAAAATGAGCATCGCACCCACCCCTGCTACCTGCCTAAGTACCAGTGCCTCCACCCCCTCTGCTCAAGGCTCAGGGATCACCATCGAAGAGGAAGCAGAAAGGGTCTAAGAGCTAGAGGCAGTGGGCAACTTCAGAAAATATCTGGACACAGCAGGGCATCTGCACATGTGAACAGTTGTGACTTGTACAAACTCAAGCCTGACCAAATCCCCAAATGAAGAGTTAAGACAAAATTCCATACCGCACAGTGGAGAAATTATCAATGAGCTGCTGGAAATGGTTGGTTTTCTCTAAGAGTGCAGCCCCTGGTAAGCTGACGGTGCTCCAGTGGAAGACCGAATATCCAAGAATATTTGGGCAGCACAAATAGGTTTTAAAAGGTTAAAAAAAAAAAAAAAAAAGACACAAAGTTGGGGAAGTGGGGCAGATCTGGGAAAAGTTGTGGGGAGCAGATACAATTAAAACACGTTGTGTAAAACTCTCAAAGGAGTAATAAAAACGTGGCTTGAAATAAAAAGATGGCCAGATGGTGTTGGCACAGGCCTTCAATTCCAGCACTGGGAGGCAGAGGATCTCTGTAAGTTCAAGGCCAGCCTGGTCTACAGAGTGAGTTCTAAGACAGCCACAGTTGTTACACAGAGAAACTCTGTCTCTCAGAAAACCAAAACCAAAACAAAACAGATGAGTATTTACAGATGGATGCTGTGGGTGCAGGGATGTAAAGGTGGTACTCAGATTTTGGATGCTTAGAACTCTGCAAATTATTGAAACAGCAGGTACAGACTGCTTTGCCTTTGTCCTAAACAGCAGGCTGTACAAGGATGAATTGTATGTAACATAAACATAACATAAACGGTAACTGATAATGTGTTACTGTAGGGAATGGAAGTGGAGAGATTTTTGGAGGTGGGAAGCAGGGAGGAGGAAAAGCTCACCCTCCCATGAATTTTACTTTGAACCCCAAATTTCTCTTAAAATTTTTAATTTTAAAAATTCTCTTAACTATATGCCCAATCACTGTTTTTGAAGGTTCGTCAGATATTGCATTTACTAACATCTAGTGAGCACTTTTCATAGACTTTTCAATCTTAAGGAAATAGGTTTTTCTACCTTTTTATAGTCAAAGGACATTAAGGATAACAGAACTGAAATAATGAAAACAAATTCACAGACTAAAAATGTACACATCTGTTTCTGACCATAGGGTTAGGTGTTTTGTTACTGACTTATTTCCATCTTTCCTTAACATCTGGTTCCAAAAATTCACGTTTCTGATATCATTATCTTGGCCCAATCGCGGGGAAGCCCGAGACCGCGGGGGTGGGGGAGGCGAGGGGGAGTAGAGGGGTGGACTCAGGGACTACAAAGCCCAGCATGCACTGCTGCTCCGGCTACAGCAAGCCAGCTGTGGTTTTCTTCGCCGCTCTTCCCTCCTCCACCGAGTTTCCACATCCGAGATGGGCTTCCGTGTTCCTCGCAGGTGCCACTGCCCACAGCTGCACGCATCCCAAAGATCGATCGGCTATGCCCTCGCCTCCCGGGCCCTGCGTCCCTGTGGCGCAGCCCGCGATACCCACCTCAGCCACAGCTCCTGCACGCCGTGCCGCTCCACAGAGGACGCTCACACGGTTGCTACGGAAACGACGTGACGTTTCGCCCGACTCGTGCGGCGGTCAAAGATCGTCCTTGCGACTTCCGCTTCCGGTTCCGTGATCTAGTTTGTTGTGGGCTGACTCTCCGGTGTGGGCTGGTTCTCGAAGCAGATTTCTGAGGTTCAGGTGTGAGTCGGGGTTGCTCCCGTCCAGCGGCTGCAGACATGGCGGCCTCTACGGCGGCCGGGAAACAGCGGATTCCCAAAGTGGCCAAGGTAAGCGATGGCAAAGGGCCCCAGCACGGCATCTGTGGTGTGGTGCACCGGAGACTCGGGGCAGCGAGCTCTTCGCCTGGGTCGGTGGCGTGGCGCGGAGGTCTTGTCACTCCGAGTTCGTCTCGTGTCTGTCTGCCCAGCCTTCGTTCCAGGATGGTGTTTTTGTAATGCGGGTGATCGGTTCGGTTAAGCAAACTCTTACTTAGCATTGCTAGGCTCTGGGGACCACCCCCCTCAACACATTGCTGGAGTTAAACAAGAGGAAGAGCGAAATGGCAAGCTTGATAGGTGTTTCCAGGCACCGTAGACCATGCCATGGGCAAGAACCATAGGGGTTTCAGTAAACTTGGAAGATAAACTTTGTGGAGGAAGCTGAAACTTGAAAGCTGCGTGAAAGTTGGACAATGGAGGGAATGGGAGGAAATGGCTCTCTGCAGTGGCATAATTTAAGTTATAAACAGTGGATTATTTTATTTCCAACGATAACTAATATTTCATTAATGCTTGATAAGAGGCAGGTCTTGCACTTCCTGTACATTTATGGTCTTTCTCTGGTCTGATTCTTATACACGTGGCCTTTTTGTTTTGAGACAAGTTCTCATTTCAACATGTAACTATTGTAAAAGTCTAATGTGGGAGCTTTTTCCCCATACTGAGTCATAAAAGCCACGGTATGTGGCTAGATTTTTGCCAGCTTGGCATAAGCTACAGTTATCTGAGAGGAACCTCAGCTGATAAAATCCCTCCATCAGATTGCTTGTAGGCAAGTCATTAAGACATTTTCTTAACTAATGATAGATGTGGAGGGCCCAGCCCTCTCAGGGAGTGCTACACCTGGGCGGGTGGTCCTAAGTACTGTAAGAAAGCAGGCTGAGCCATCAATCCAGTGGGCAGTGTTCCTACATGGCTTCTGTATGGGTTCCTGTCCCAGCTTCACTTCATGATGGGCTGTGATTTGGTTGTGTAAGCCAAGTAAACTCTTTCCTCCCATGTGCTTTTGTTAGTGGTATTTTAACACAGCGGTAAAAAAGCACATTAGAACAATATGCTTGCACTTAAGGTCCATCTAAATCTGAACACGTTTGGCCTGTAGCTACTGTGTTGAACAACATAGCTGTGTGTACTCAAGAAGCTTACAGGCTAATGATTGGAAATTTTACAGTTGACTTAAAATATGGAAAATCAACCTATCCACTAGAGGGGTTAAAGTAAGTAGAGGAATTCTGTAAACAGGTTATCACACCAGAAAGTAGTACCTATTTTGCTCTTCTAAAAGGGGGAAAAAATGCTCTTATTTTGTTGATTTTTTTTTTTTTCTCTTGAGTTTTCACAATGGACTCATTATAGATGCCAAGCTTTAGATAGAAAATACAGGATCCCCCTGCCCACCTCCTCCCCCATTCTGTCTCAAGGAGGCCAGCTTGTCTTCATATTTACAAAGTTCACACCATGGAAAATGTT